GGAGGAGCATCCTTAGTTTTGAATATCTTTAACTTTCAATGAGTAGAATATACATGTAGTTCCAAATCTTCCCTTTTGCTAAACTGGCACCTATGAAGTGTCAGGTGTACCTAGCGCGGGTGTGATTGCCACAGCAAAGTGTCCTTATACAAAAAAATTAGGGGGGGGGTTGTTATAAGAGCAAGATTATCGGAAATTGCTTGATGAATTTCACGACAGGGCAAGAATCTTTGAAGTGCTACCTGAGAGGTACAATGCATCAGTTCAAAATCTAACTGTCGTTTTGTAGAATTTCAAGAAAATGATTTCAAGAAGTCCAAGAGAAATAAGTAGGCTACATACATATATTAAACTTTTATAATACTAATTTGTTTTGTGAAAGAACAGCGCGATTGCTGTCGAGTTCCTTCTTTTACTACTAACAAAAACGGAAGTAGAGATATTATGTTGTTGATCTCTCGCGGCTCGCTCGCGGATGAAGCCCGTCGGTCAAAGCGCAGGGCAAGTCGTTACGACAGAGTCTTGGCTTGTGCGCACTGGTGATAGTGATAGGCGTAGATCTAATCTAATTGATTGACATTGAGCACTCGTAGGCTCGTAATGTGAGTAAGCAAGTTAAATCATTCAAGCAAGAAAGCTGTTGCAGGATTATAATACATTGGCCTGGCCTGCCTAATGAATGATTTATCATCTCTTACGTCTTACTCTTTAAAGTTAAGGCCTTCGTAAAGTTAAAGTCTTTAAACTTAAACGCTGTCTTCTCTGTCATCTCCACTTCGTGATCCGAATGCGATATCTAGATCTATAAGATCTATTCTATGATATAGATATAGATCTAGAATCTAGGATCTAGATATATCTATTTTAGATTCAGATCTATTGTGGCTCCTTATTTATATTTATTTTTGACTTTACTTGACTTATGATCATGGGTGTAAATTGTGGAAGGAATTCCTCAGAGGGCTGGCTGACCGTCAACACACTAAAGTACTAAAGAGTGAATATTTTGAGCGGGTGTGTATACAAAACGAAAGTTTGGTTCAGTAGGCCCATTTTACAAAAATATTGTTTGTGGCTTTCTTTGCCTTTAGTGGGGGGTGGGGGCATTTTATTGTTTTTGCATCCCCTCCCCTCTCCTTCCAAAACGGAAGTCCGATATTTTCTAATTTCATAAATTTCTATAGATCTAGATCTAGATTTCTAGTTGACAGAAGGTAATGGCGGATTCCACTCGACTCGAATTTGTCATCGACTGGAGCTGTCAAATGTGCTTTGCTCTAAATAATTACCTCGCCTACCTAGATTTAGATCTAGATCTAAACTAGATCTAGATCTAGATTCTAGTCGTCAAATTTACCAAAATGTAAGTCATTAATTGGATTCTCTAAGTGCACCAACTGTTGTTCTGCTATGTTGATTGTTTGCTCAGGAGTTGACCTTGTCACAGTAAATGAAAAGGAAGTGGCTATCCTCACCCGGGGTGAGAATAGAAATTTATACGATCGACCTCTCACCGTGGGTGAGACTTGCCACTGTAGGCTATTCTCACCCGGTGTGAAACAAGACTGTTTTTCCTAATTTCAGAATACTTTCTATCGATGTGGATGATCAAATGGATAAAGGCAAAGAAAAGATTATGTTATAGCACAAAAGTAAGCTAATTTGATAGACTACAAAGATGCTATGGCTATTTCACTTTTCGAATCGAGCCGAACTACGGGGGTCGCCATTTTGTTTTGCCCGGAAGTTCTCACAAGATCTACTCAGAACCTCCCCTTTTCTCTCTCTCTGTCTCTTTCTGAATACTGTCTATCGGTGTGGATGATCAAATTGACGAAAACAAAAGTTAAAAAATGGTGTTAAAACACAAAAGTAAATTAATTTGGTCGTCTACAAAGATGCTACGGCTATTTAACTTTTCGAATCGAGCCGAACTACGTGGGTCACCATTTTGTTTTGCCCGGAAGTTCTCGCGCTACTCCTCTCTCTTTCTCTTTCTCTCTCTCTCTTTCTCTCTCTCCACTGCCCACAGACAAAATTGTACGCTTTTAATAGGCTAACAGTAGTAATGGAACGTTTGTTCACGGCACAGAATTCTACAATTTTTCTGATTCTGTGGTTTAGGGTGAACGCAAAATTGGTTGGCCTAGTTCTAGGCTATAACGGTGAACGCGCACCGGGTGAGAATAGCCAAAAGACTCGCCTGCGCTATTCTCACCCTGGGTAAGAATAGAGGTGGCCAAATGAAAATGCCAGCCCTCTGCAGAACTCCTCCCTAATTGGAAAAACATAGATCTCTACATTTTTAGATCTAAATCTAGATCTAGAATTTAAAGACTAAATCTAGATCTGAGCTAGACTTGGACCAGCCTACTTACCTACTACTAGTACTAGATATAGATCTACATAATATATAGAATAGATTCTATTATATTGGGTTTAAAAAAATAAATTTTATAGAAAACTCCCATCTCATAAAATATAGTCTATATATACAGGTGTACTGTATAGCCTCAGACACTACTAATACTAAACTACTGCTACTTAGTCAACTACACAATTCGGCTCTCTTTGGGAGAAGTGGTCCCGGTCTAACTCCATAGAAATTTATACACACATATCATGTACTCAATCGGAAGCAAAACCGGAAGTCGCGTTAAAAAAAGAAGCCCCCCCCGTGCTAAATTCCCCAAATAATGGTTTGTGACAGTTTTTAGTGCACACTGAAAAACGTAGAGTAGAAATAGTGCTGAAAAATAGTTTAAAATGGGTTTGATCCTTTTTTAGATTCTGTAAATTTACAGACCTTGTGCTGTTGAAGCGAGAGAGGTAAGCAGTCTAAGTCTGATTCCCTGTAAAGACTTTTCTGTTGACACCCACCCCTTGGCGCTCATATGACCTTATGCAGTTGCGAGCGCCGTAAAACCCTCTACTATAAAAAAAAAAAAACCTATTACGGGAAAACTACTCGGTGCACACAGCAGGCATACCAGCTGATATAATCAAGGGTCTGGGCATGGTTATTTTTATACTACTGAAAATACTGAATGATCGTCTCTGTCTCTTCAGAAGACAGTTTAGTTGGTAATGTTGCCTTGTAGGAAGGTGAGAATTTTCCAAAATTGTCAAAAATTACAGTCGGCTCATAAATATTTATTGTAAGGACTGTTTAAAATTATTAATTATAAGTCAGGGTAGTTGTCCAATGTAGCTTGTGACTGGGTGGTTGGCAGGTGCTCTGGTGTGGTTTGCTCCTTCTTTCCTCTATCAAACATCTATCCTCATCTCTCCTCCTCCTCCTTTTTTTATGTTTGTTACTGTCTTGTAACACCTCTAATCTTCGGCATTTATATGACCTAATTGTGATGCTAGTGCTGAAAAGCTAAGCGCTTCAGGGACTCCTCCTCCCCCCTTCAGCTCGAAAACACCCGCCAACTTTCGGGGTTTTTCCTTCCTTAACTTGCTATGATTCAATCTAGCCTGTTTAAGCCACAAAATTTTCAATATTAAGAATTTTATTACAATGAATGTGCTTTCTCTTTGACAGGTTTCCATGAATTTGGGACAAGTCCAAACATCTGTGTGTTCCCTGTAAAAGGAAAATTATCTTGGGGAAATGGAGGAAGTTGATGAAGTTGGTGAGGTGGATTTTCCGTTTGATTTGTCAGAATGGATGGTGGTAGATGACGATGATGAAGGTGGTGATGAATCTCCAGAAACTAATACAGAAAAGATTGAAGAAGAGCTTCAGAAGAAGTATAGCCCTGAAGCAAAGAAGGCTGCAGGAGTCACTGGTGTTTCTAAAAATAGTTTGTCTCAGCCTGGTGATAAAAATGCCACAAGTACAGGCTTACCACAAAAAGATCCTGGGCCGGCTTCAAAATCAAAGGCTTCTACACCCAGTAAGGTGTCCACCAAAGCACCGCCCGCAAAAAAGGTTGCTTCAGAACCAAGTTCAGCTGGACCCAAGCAAAACACTGCTGGTAAACCTTCAATTTCCAAACCGTTACAACCCAAAAAGACCCCTGTCACATCAGGGAAGGGAAAGACAGCGCAGCCGAGCCAGCAAGTGAAATCAAATGCTGCTGTAGGCATAAGCAAGGTCACCGAGTCGGTCAAAGCGCCATCTGGAGGCAAAGGCAGCCCTGGTGTTGGAACTCCTCAGAAAGCACTACCTGCGCAGAAGAAATCTGGGGTGTCTGCAGAAGTGCGTAATCAAGCCAAAGGAGAGAACAAGGGTCCTGTAAAACCAGTTGTCAAATCTCTCCCAGCTGCAAGTAGCAAAACCCCAGAAGCTGACAGAAGTAATGACACCACTGATAAAATACCAGCCAAGGTGCAGAACTCTGAGAGTAGGATGTCAACTAATGTTCCTTCGTCCTCCAATGAGACGCCCAAAAAGTCTCTCGCTCAAACGAAACAAACGGTGACGAATGATAAAGCTAAGAAAAGTTTGACCTTGACTTCTTCCGCTACCTCAGGGCAGCCTTCTCAGTCTATGGCTCCCTCTGCTAATCTGAAGAAAGCAAAGAGTAGCACCAATAAGTCCAATCCTGAAGTGCCAAAAGACAAATCTCAGTCCCCCGGAAAATCCTCAGGAAGTACGCCTGATCATCGGCAGACTGTGCCAAAATCATCAGCCTCGGGCCCGAAAAAGGCACCAGGTAACGCTCCTGTAACTGCAGCACCCAGTGCAACCTCTACCACTGCTTCTAGCGCCTTGAGTGCAGCTTCTGCGAAATCACCCCACTCAACTATCAAAGTTGGTCTGTCAGGAAGAAATGCTGGAAAATACTTACACAAGGGAACTGATTCTCTTACGGCGATCAACGAAAGCGCCCCCGGCCAATTGTCAAAAACTGTGAGTAAATCAAACACAAGTGCGAAGGCACCATTGAAAACTGCTGCTCCATCAACGCCAAGTGGGAGGGGTAGAATTGACTCTGCGGAGAATGATCCAAGCAGTAGTCTAGCCGACCTGATGACGTCTGTCGAGGAGTACGAGGATCGCGGTGGGGGTGCTTTTGACCTAGATGTAGAAGACGTCTCCGATACAGAATTGCCCGTCATTCCATCATCTACTGTTGGGAAGACTGAGAAGCCCGGTAAGACGTTAAAGTCTAAGAGGGCTAGTTCTGCCGAAAAAGATGGACCTCAGCCCAAAAAACTGAAAACGTCCTCATCTGCAGGATCGGCTGTCACTTTAGATTCGTCAAAAGTTTCTTTGGCAAAGAACATGCCTGATGGTAATGCTGTTGTAAAGACTGCGTCCAACATTCCACTTGTTAAAGGACAGTCGGATGTTACACCACGAAAAGAAACTTCAAACGCAGTGCGAGGAAATCCAACTGAGACGAATGCCAAAAATTTGCCAGTGGCTTCCAAAGCGTCAGGGCCCAAAGTTATGGGAGCAAAGACAGGGAAGAGAATCATTCGTCGATTTCACAGGACAACTCAAACTGTTTCCAAAACGTCCAAGAACAAGATGTTGCAATGCCTCATAAGGATCCCGTCCTTGGATGCTCGGGCCGTGCAGACCAGGACGACAGGCTCTCAAGTGATAGCGGTGGAGTCGCAGTCCGTGTGGGAGACTGAGCTGCTCCCTGATTACTCCTTCACACTAGACGTCTTCAAAGCAGTCGGGACGTTTGACGTTACCAAGCAGACTTCCAGGCTTTCCTTTGGTAAGTGCAGAGGTGGTCAATCCATAATTTTTTTAATATAGCTGTTTTTATGCCTCCATCAACACTATTTAGATCATTTAGGAGTTGTGCTTCTTACCCTGCCTGTTGGGACCAACCTGGGTTGAGAGGGATAACAATGTCCCAGATATTCAATAAAAATTCCTCTCACCTCTCGGGGAATCTTAATTCGGGTCTCCTTCTTGTAACAACAAAAAGCCTCACCACTACACCACAGAGATGGTCGGTCATTATCTTTATTCATCTCTGCCCTTTTCATCCTGGTATTGGGTGGTATAGACCGCTAAGAAGGGCTCTCCACCTTTCTCTTTTCTTGGCAATCTTCTTTTTCTACCTCCATCAAGCTGTGTCCTATTATGCCTGAGATCTCTCAGAGATGGAATACAACTTTGATAAGGGGATGTTTCAGTGAGTGGTGCTGTGATGGCTGGTTAACTCTTTATCTCCGAGGGGAGTAAACCCACTATGCCGGGGCCCTTTTTTGGTACTAAATCTAAAAATTACAAAAGCGTCACTAAATGGGTCATTCAATCGAAACTGGCGAACCTGTTATGATAGTACTTCATCTGTTTATGAGTGAACTGCCTTTGCCGAAAAATAATTTGATGTCCAAGTCGTCGTAAAGGAATGTGCCCGAGCCTCTGGCGCAGCAGTTACGACCGGGAGCCACTGTGAGCGGCTTGCCGGAGATAAAGAGTTAATGCCGCCATCCAAAGGCAGAGCGATCTAACTGCGCTTTTCATGGTTTTGAGATACATTTTTTTTAAAAATCAAGAAACTGCTGATGCTTATCCTGTCTTAAGTTATGAATTTTTCTAAACATAGTTGAACAGAAATGTAGATGGGATTGAGATTAGTCACTTATCCAGCTTTACCATTTTGAAAATTACTATTTCTCATGGTGATATATATGTTGTCCTACTTTTGACACATTCATGAAGGAAATGGGAAAAATTTGTATTATAACAAAGCAATAAAAGTTACTTTGTTTTGTTGTCAAATGAGGAAAAATGACAGTGTGTCCGTCATGACCGATGATGACCATGAACGATGATCAAGGTCACATTTTCAAGTTCGCAGAAAGTCAAGTTTTTCAGTGGAAAACTTCAATCTGTTTTCGGCATTGAATTTTCATTTCTTATTTTATGACTGGACTTCTTTTTACTGATTTTTCTTCTTCTTGATATCGATATAACAACAGCATCATTGCTTTTTCTCCCACCCACAGCCTCTTTTAAACATGGAATAAGTTTTGGACCTGTTCTGTCAGCTGACCTGGACAAAAGCTCTTTCCGTGATGAAATACTGAAGAAGGCAGACAGCTACAGTGTATCTTTTATAGAAAAAGATGCAGGGTATGTAGTATAAATTTAATACATTTTCTAACTCGCTACTTTTCAAAGTACAAAAAAGGTCTTGAATTGGAGAAATTAGACCCATCACGAAGTATACATGTTTCCTTTTCATTTACGTCATAACGAACGTACATGGACAAATTTATAGTTAGTCGTCTGGTTAACAATAGAAACAAGGAGCAGAGTAATCATTCAAACTGAGGTTTTTGAAAACTGAATTTCAGGTTTTTGGAAACTCAGTTTCACTTTACATCACTTGGTAAGAATGTGACGACCCCCCCCCCCCCCCCCCCCCCCCCCACCCCCCCCCCCCCCCCCCCCCCCCCCCCTAAATTGTGTTGTTTTGGGGGGGGGGTTTCTGCAAGAGGTGAATACTAAAAGTACGCTACTATTTGATTTTTGCAAAGAACCGGGAAGTTCATTCTTCCTATATATTTGTCACAACTGAAATGATTTATTGATCTGTTTTGTCCGCAAGTGTCACCCTTGCTGGATTGTTGTAAGCTTTGATTCATATTAAAACAAAGTAAAATCTATCAGTCTTCTCGGTCCTTGTATTTGGGGTTGTCATTAACGATAAAAGTAACTGTAATTGTGAACGCCGTAAAACCTTACTAAAACTGAACTATTTTAAACTAAAGTAAATGTCTTAACCCTATCTGTACGTCGTGTTTTACTATCGTATCCACACGACATAGGGAACTCTGTGCCACCACTATTCAAAGAGGAAGTTTACTCGTTAATCCGATCTGTTCGTTTTTCATAGCAGTCTGTCAAAATGATTTTTTGAGAAATACTGAAAGTTTCAAAGAGATCTTCGTACTAGAAGTATTGTAAATAAATGTGAAGAATACCACCCTGGGGATACAAAATGACCCCAGGGCGTACGGATAGGGTTAAATAGTGCAAATGTCTTAATCTGTCATCCTACAGGGTTGTGGATTTGTTCTTCTACGATATGGAGACTTTTGTGAACATGACAACGCAGCTGAGACGAACTAGGATAGGCTCCAGGTACCTGGTTGTGACTTTCTGTGCACAGGAAGAAAAGAAGAACAGCACTTCAGATGGGCTGGGAAAAATGAATAAAGGTAACATTTTTGAATTCATGTTTTGTCCACAATGGTTTATGTTTCGTTTTTTGTTGTTTTATCTTTGGGGGGCGGGGGGGGGGGGGTTGGAAATGTAAGGGCAAGGCGCATCACATTATTGTAAGAGAATTCCCTTGATTGCTGTTATAACTCTACGTGGGTGGTTGGCAGGTGCTCTGATGTGGTTTGCTTCTTCTTTCCTATCTAACATCTATCGTCCTTATCTCTCCTCGTTCTTTTTTTTTTTTCTGTATGATACTCTCTTGTAACACATTTATTCTTTGGCACTTTTATGACCTTATTGTGTTGCAAGTGCTGTAAAACGCTTACGAAAAACGAACTTAACAGCTCTGAGGTGCTCCGTGGCCAAGGTTTAAAAAAAAAATTGAATATATATATAAACAAGTAGGAGGGTGTCGCTGGTAGGTCCTACTTCTTTCTTTCTTTCTTGTATCTATCTGTCTGTTTTGCTTTTACTCAGCACTTAAGAACTGTTTGATTTGTTGACATGCTTCTCTTTTGTGCCGCAAATGAAACAGAACTGATGTTGTCGTCTGAAAAAAAGAAAAGGGATATTTTCAGATTTTTTCAGAGTGTTGTAGAGTTATTTCAGAGCTGACTTGTTTAAATAAGTTCATTTACCCTATCCGTACGTCGTGTTTTACTATCCTATCCATACGACGTTGGGAACTGTGTGCCACCACTTTCCAAAGAGGAAATTACTCGTTTATGCTTTGCATAGCAGTCTGTCAAAATGATATTTTGAGAAATACTGAAAGTTTCAAAGAGATCTTTGTACTAGAAGTATTCTAAAATGTGAAGAATACAACCCCAAGGGGGGGGGGTACAAAATGGCCCCCCCGGGCGTACGGATAGGGATAAAAAAAATCTTCGTTGTCTTTTCCATCCCCCAACAGCTACAGTTGTCTTCGACCAGAACTTCTCCTCCACCACGTTCCTGTCTTACATGAAAGGTCAGTCATTTTTTTTTCATGGTCATTTTTTAAACTCTAATGTGGTTTTGTTGCGTTGAAATAATATTTTATTTTCATTCCGCATAGTAACACTGTCAAACTGAAAAGAAAGAATAGGAGAAATCTTTCTTTTTAAAAAATCTTTTTTTCAGTAGGTGCACTTTTGTTATGAGCGGCCACATTTTTTCGCTCGGCTTTTAGTGCCATTCAGCAGAGTTGAGTATTTTTGTAAATTTATGTTCTTGTTTTGCTACTTATAGGCTCTGTAGTTTGTATCTTGACCTAAATATATTTCGGTACATTTTGTGCATGTAGCAATAGCCACAGATGGACACTGCCTGCTGTTTTCAGACTGTGTTCTGGTGGGTGATTGGCAGGTGTCCTGGTGAGGTTTTTTCTCCGTCACAAACGTCTATCGTCGTCTCTCCTCCTTTTGTTTGTATGTTTCTGCCTAGAGACGTCGCCAATCTTCAGAACTTACATGGCCTATTTGTTTTGCCAGTGCCGCCGTAAAGCTCTTACTGAATCTGACCAAAAAAACGTGTCATGTTTCCCTTCAAATGCGATTCGGTTCTCCTTAAAAATCGAGACTTAATTCTCTGAAAAATCCTATTTATACCATTACAGACGCTTCAAGAGACTTTTTGGACAGCATTTTTGTCAATTCACAGGACACCTTTGCAGGCCGCCACTTTGGGATCAAATTTTTTTTGCCGTAGTATTAATTTATGTATGTTTATCAGTTTTAATTTATGGATCAATCCACGATTCAGAAAATCACATTTGACAAAATAATCAGATCAATTCTTTCGCATACCTGTCAAAACACAGAATGATGCGTATCTGCCTGGATGTACCCTTATTTAAATGTTTACTAGATGTACTTTCGGGAGTTAACTGCAGTTTTAAAAAAAGGAAAGCTTCTCGTAACATATGTGTCTACGCATATGCTCTCTCACATACTGATACACTCATTGTGACATACGAGCTCGGAATCTCTCACTTTCACACACACATAAGCACGCAGACACATGCATATATATATATATATTATTATACGCACAAGCCTATATATATGCAAACAAACAAACATATATACACTTTCTCTCTCTCTGTGACATACACCTGGACTAACATGCTTGTTTCACAAACACACAGGTCTACAGTAATGTTCACACACATTCACACACACACACACACACACACACACACACTCGCACACATGTCCATACACACAGGCCTATAGACATGAATGGCCATCGCCTCATCTCACGTTCGTCCAGGTCAGCTGTACAGCTGGGTCATCCGAAAACAAAAATTTTTATTCTTCTCTTTGATTCCCACAATCTGCTTTTTACACAATTGTTATGAGAATAGCAGTAGTTTTGGTAAGCCTGAAAAGGGATCTAACACCAATTTCCGACAGTCTTTGTGTGTCTTTTCTTTGCTTTCATGCTCAAAATATGTAATCAGGAGAAAGATTTGATGTATGTTGTTTGAGTGGATTTGCTCAATTTTGAATGCATGTTTGTGTTTTGTCAGGTTGTCAGCTTCAAGATTGTTTCGTATCACTCCCATGCTGTAGATGGCGTTGAATGTATTTTTGATCAAAGTTTTTCTTAGCATCTTGTGTTTCAGAGTACCTTGTTTCTTGCACTCATATTGTTCTCTCAAGCCTGGAGATTGTCAGTGAGGGCAGCACACACTTGGGCATTGTACGAACACTGCTCAGCTGTTGTCCTTTTTCCCCGGGACTTTCGCACAAGACCTGTCTACTTGATCTAAAGATGGCTGCAAGTCGGGGTCTACCAAAACTACCTTCTCAAATACCTGTCTGCTTGATTCAAAGAAGTCGTGTCAAGGTCTACGAAAAAGTACTTACAGCGGGATTGACAGTATGTTCCATCTGAAGACTCCACGTTTGCCTTTATGTATCTTTGCTGAGAACAGAAGCGACAAGTCTCACTTGGACCAGCTGCATCTCAAACCGTCCCGTCCGGCATGACTGTAAGATGGAAATGTCAAGAACAAGTCTGGGTACAGTGTTGACTAGGTGACCAATATGGCGCAGCCATGACCGTAGGAACTTCCATTTGACCCGATTTAACTCCTGGACAAAAATCAAGGCTGCCATTATCTGCTGAATACTTAATTGGCAGCTGGAATCTTCGAGTCCAACTTTTAAAAAAGGTGGCAATTGAATGCATGCTGTCTAGTCGAACGCCGTTGTTTTTTGCTATGGCCGTTCCCTCACTTTACGGAGCAGAGAAATAAAACCTGGCTTGAAGTTTCCAGACGTAAATAGCCAGCATGTTCTACCGAGGGAGTATTACATCCTGCCAATTTTTAGCTTGTCTAAAAATAAAAGTCTGCTCGTTGTTGTTGTTGACAGGGATGTGACCATATTCCACTGGTTGGCTTATCAGGTGTCAGAGTTGGTTCTCCTCAGAATTGTCTGTTGCAACAACCTTAAGGAAACTTGTTTTGTCCAACTCCTCACAGCTTGCTTGAGTGAAGACTTTGTCTTCTCATTTGCTCCGCTGTAATACACAGCCTGGTGTTTGCTACACAGATGCGTGCGCAATCGGGGAGCTTTAGAACCGATGGCGATGGTTTAGCCTCTAGAAGATTTAGTTCAGTCTGTGAGTCTACCTAGCCTGTGTGAGGCAGACAAAGGTTTTATGAGGAGCTGCGAAAGATGACAAGAGTTTTGCAAATTTAGGGCACTCACCACCGTTCTTCTCAACCATCCACTCACCTGCCGCCGGCTGTTTCTTCAGGGTGATGGGAAAGTAATGCCATGAGTGGAACCTTTCTGGACTGAAAAATATCTTCAATACGTCCACAATTGAATTCAACTTGCCCTCTGGTGTTTACCTTTGATGTAGGGCATCTGCATCAGGTGCCAAGGTCGTAGTGTCACGAATCGTACTTGCATTGAATGTTGTCAAGGCCACAATGTCTCAAGGTGTACTCCAAACGAGTATCAAGGTCATGGTGTTACAAGTCGTACTAGCATCGACTATCGAGGTCAGAATATCACAAGTCAAACTTGCACAGAGTATCAAGGTCAGAATATCACAAGTCAAACTTGCACGGAGTATCAAGGTCAGAATATCACAAGTCAAACTCGCAATGCATATCAAGTTTTCCAATATCACGAGCGGCCATCCAAAGTACAGACGTTCACAAGACGTGTGGGGTGTGCCTATGGCACTGGTGAGGGATCCAACGTATAATGAATCAATTTTCTTAGACTCAAGAGACGAGGATGGCTTAGAATTTCACCGTCTTCAATTGGAATCTTGGCTTAACATATGTATTATGTTTGTGTGTTTATGTGTACTGCTAGGCTTATGGTGAGTTTTGTGTGTGTGGTTTAGCTGGCTGAGACCCATTGTAGTTGGGACAAGTTCTTACTTACTGAAGTGGGAAGGGGGTTAAGAAAATGAACAACATCTGCAAATCAGCAAGACTGAACCTCATATTTTTAAAATGTTCTATCAGTTTTGTTCTCGGTTATGTTGAACCTGGATTGATTTACTAAAGTAGCGGACTCTGGATGGCAAAGAGAACAGGAGATCAACAATGCAAGCAACCACAAGAGACTGGCATAAATCCTATAAGGTCCCCAATGTGAAGAAGAGAAAAAGCAGAGAGACTACTACAGTTAAGACAGGGCACTTTGGTGTACAGAGGTTATGGATAGGACACATAAACCTGCAACTCTTAAAGGCCCAAGTGTGGTTCTGTAATATGAAGAAAACTGGCCCAACACAAAGATTATTCTAGTAATGTTTTCCCTCCCTGCCGTAAGTCTGGTTTAAGAAGACACATGATAAGAAGATTGAGTTCACCCGTTTTGAAATGATCAACTCTTCATGTGTGTTCCGGAAGTTTAAACTTATTGAAGAGAAAGACAGGACAGTGCTTCGTGGTGACTAAGCAAAACTCAAGATGTTTGAAAGTCCGATAAGTCCTTACAGCTATAAGTCGTCATCATCCAGTGCCAGATCTGCGACAGACATCGGCGATCATGGTTCTCCATTCATTCCTTTGCTCGGATGCTCTCAAAAAAGCTACGTTTCCCTGATCTTTCCCTGTTACCCATTTGTTTAGGTTCCCTAAGTATGTTGTTCTGGACCTCCCCTGCCTCGTTTGCCTTCAATTTTGCCAGTGAGAGCTAGATGTTCAAGACCCTTATGTCTATTCAGGTGTCCCGAAAACTGCATTTGTCAGCTATAGGTGCCACATGAAATAATACTGGCGGGTGATGTAAGTTAAAGATGTTTCTTGCCAAATTGATATCAACTTGGCAAAGTAATGAAAGCAGAAGTGGGACATCCCAGAAAAGGTCTAGATGTTTCAAGACATGGCAGGATTGTGAATGAGAAAACAAGAATACAGCCTCAAGTCAACTCCCCCAGAGGACCCGCTGCAATGGAAAATCCAGTGCCCCTACTACATCTCAAGGGTAGTCGACTGCTGGTACTTTGACCTGCAGTGCAACTGATTTTTACGTATGTACTTTTCCCAGCTTTGTAGAGCCCCTTGCCTCATTCCTATTTAAAAAATACTCTTTATTTTTTTCTTTTGCACGACTAGTTTTTTCAGTTTTGGTAGAAATTGATTTTGCCATTTGCCTTTATGACAGTGCAAGCCTACTCTTACCCATTTTAGGACCACTGAGGAATCTTTTATGTGTTCAACTTGCACACAAGACGTCCAAGGTTTTTTGCCCTTATCCAAGAAGACTAGGTGTTCGAATTTCTTTACCCTAAGAACATGGATGTTGTTGAAAGACCGCAGTAAGAAGGAGTCAGAAGTAAGGGAGAGGGGGGTCCTGAGGAGGCTGGGGATTGGGGGAGAAAGTGGAGAAGAAAGCAGATGACAGAGCAGGACAGGAGAACAGTTAAGGAGGATAAAGGAGAAAATGTAACAGGTGAACATTTTTTTGGCGCTGCTGGGTTTTCATCCTTGGACCTTTTGACTGAAAGGCAAACACCATACCTCTAGATTAGACCACGAGAGCTCCCGAATACCAAATAGAACGTTGGACGTCCCAGAAATACCCCCTGTACAAAAGTACCTGCGAGAGAACACATACAGCACCCTCATCCCCTTAATAAAGCTCTTTAAAACCTTTTTAGTGAAAGAGCTTTGATACAGCAACAGAGTTACAGAAATGAGGAATGATTATGAGAAAAAGCAACTCAACTTTTTGTTTGCAGTGGAACCAGTGACTTGACCTTAGTTGCTCCTACGTTATGTTGTTGTTTAGAGTCACAGCAATTGAGTTTGTCTAAAGAACACTTCACAGCTCATGAGACCAGATGGCGAGATGTCAAGTTAAAGCAACAAGTTATTTTCTCCGCGGAAAATTTAACAATGACCCCACATCCAGTGGATTTTGCTTTCAAACCGGTCAGCAGTTGTTAATGACACATGGAACAGATGCTCTTTAGTCCTCACCAATATTCAGACAAGAATAAAAATGAAGTTTTAGTTTTCAGAGGTTCAGTCATGCTGCTGAGCAACTTGATAGTTAATTGTTTGGGTTTTTGCTGTAGTGTAGGATAGAAAGTGAAAGGTCTGCGCAGTGGAATGTGCTGTTGGTAAGAGTCATGTGGTTTAGCTGTTGGAGCTTTGATTTCATTGGATCCATGTAACCACAATGGAGCACGGTATCTGTCTGCCCCATGGAGCTTTCCCGAATCTGTTTCCCTGATAGCCTGCGTCCGGAGAAAACAGGTGAAAGGCTTCCCGTCTTCTGTGGTACTTTTGGTCGTTTTACTTCAGTTCCCCGAGGTCGTGAGAGAATTGAGCACATACGTGTGTCTATGACATGCATGTGTACTTGTATGTGCATTGCATGATCATCGCTTTCTCCTCCGGTTCTCATCCGTCAAGTCCCCTCACGTCACTGAAGTCTCAGGCTGCACTGTACAAGATACATGGCCCCTTATTCAGCGCCAATGGAAAACGTGGAGTTTGAGCGTGCCTGTCAAGCACCGAGGGATGAAAGTGGTGAACTACAGCTTCGTCGGCTCACTCGCGCAACGTCGAGCAGCGCTTGCTGTGGAAGTCTGAGCGTCGAGACGCCGTCTTAGCATGATGCTCTTTTCAAGGGAAGAGACGTATCATGCGCCCTCTCCGTCTTTCAGCTGCGGTGTGGAACAAGCCCAAGGTAGAGGAGAATTTATCAATGTACAACATCCCGGAAGGAATCTCAACAGAGTTTGTCAAGACCGTCATGCCGGATGCTATTACCGTGGAGCTAGATGTCGGAAATCCAGACAAAAGGTAAGTTGATACTTTCAATCTGTTCGAGACCTTACCCTTTGAGTTTCAATCATCTATAGGCTGGTGATGAGAGCTTTACTGTTCAGTTTAATTTTTTTCTTTTTTTAAAAAAACTTTCTTTTCCTTGTGTTTGTTTTAGGGATTACATATTTTCCTGGCAAGATACCACCAAGTCATTTATATTTCTTCCCCGGATAAAAGGTGCTAGTGAGGTGTTCATCAAAGTGTTGCTTTTCATTCTACTGTGCAAGAGTTTATGACGAGGTGTGTTGTGAATACAAACATTTTGTCAATGATTTTGTTTCTCACTTTGCGACACACCTTTGACCGTGATCTGAATTTTGAATAGAGTGTTATCGTATACATGAATTTTCTTTTTCTTTTTATATGGGTAGAGGTTAACATTATTGTCTACTGCTACTGATCTTGGGCTCTTTTGTCCCTGTTACCTTCTATATTTGTGGATGTCTCGTGTCATGTAATTTATGAACCTTCAGATGAATTGTGGTATAGACCTTTAAAAGAAGGTGATAACGTGTAAATGAAGGTGATATAAACATTTAAATGAAGGTGATTTAAGCCTTTCTATGAAGGTGGTATGAACCTTTAGATGAAGGTGATATGAAGGAACCTTTTAGATGGAGGTGATATGAAGGTTAGACTGAAGATAATATGGATTTTAAAATGTCTCATCATAAGCAAAGCATTAAACGTGCATAAATTTGTGAAAAGATTCGCTGCCAAGTGCTTCTTTGTCCTCTGTTAATCGGCTGGCCTGCAAGACATCATCACTGAGAAAGAGGACGGCTTACCGTCCAGAAGGCGGATGTGAAGCGTGTGAATGAAATGAGCACAGAGTAAGATTTTCTGGGATGAACTGTTGGTTTTTTTTTTACAATTTATATATATATATACAATTTTCAGCACAAATCTTGTGCTGAGATGCGACGTGGACCCGTGTTATCTGTGGGTGGTTGGCGGGTGCACCGGTGTGGTTTGCTCCTTCTTTCCTATCAAACATCTGTTGTCCTGATCTCCCCTCCTTCTTTTATATGTTTGTTACTTTCTTGTAACACCTTTAACCTTCGGCACTTATATGACCTTATTGTGTTGCAAGTGCCGTAAAACTCTTACTAAAGAAAAAACTTGTCGACTTGTGAGAGATATGCTGTTGCTACATGGAAAAAACTTTGACATGCTTGATGCTAAAGAATTGTGTATTATTCTTATTGTTTTCCTTCCCCCCCCCCCGTCTCCTCTATAATAATATCTGCGTATGGTTTACCCTTTGTCTTCCAAGTTTGAGATGAGTGTTGAAATCATCAGTCTTCGCTTCGGGAAACTAACTCTGGAAACAAGTGGTGGAATTACTTACTTGTGTTTTGACCCAATCAGCTTGTCAAAGGAGCAAAGGAGTGTTCTTATATCAGCGGTTTATCTTCGTTGCCGCGGCACCAAGTGAAAATTTTAAAAAAATAAAAGCATTTGAAAGAACACTTTACGCGTTAAACGAGGAAAAGATTTGACCGCAGAAATTATCTTTTTCTCAACTGACAACACAAAAGTATTAATTAGAACTTAATATATTATTGAGCAGTCGATCTATTTTATTTTACAGGGTGCAATACAACGTTTTATAACAAATTTGTGTTCTATATGTGGCAACCCTCTTCTTGGAATGCTGTAAATTCAAAGAAAGAAAGCGAGACCAGGGTATACTTGGAGATGGCTCTCTATATATATATATATATGTATATATATATATATATATATATATATACATGTGTGGCCCAAGTCGCGTTTTTCCTTCATGCGCCAACAACCAGATAACGTTCCGGTGTTTCATGGGTGTGGAGGCCTGTGCAGTTGGTATTTTCATGTTTGCCTTCTTCTTTCTAGTGATATTCTAGGTATCTCGGTACTTAATTATGTAGGCCCAATATTTTTACATGTCTATATAGTATTTCAGGTACCCGAAAAGTTTCTTGATAATGAAGTGAAATTTTCCATGTTGCAAATGTTTGAGAAAAATGGTTCAAAACTTGCAAGTAGAATATCCACCCAAAAAAAACCAAAACAACAACAACAAAAATACAATAAGAAAAAAAAAATGAGTGTTCTGGTTTTGATTAGAGTATGTTCTTTTTGTTTATTTTCAGTCGATTGAACGTTGGTTTAAGTCGCAAGACAGGGTGTGATCAGATGCGGCACCTGTTTAGCCAAGTCTATCTCGACGACCAGAAGGTGCTCATGTTGTCTGGAATGACTCACTCGGGGGAGACGCCAGAGCTGAAAGGTTTGTCTTGTTCTATATTTATCTGGAATGTTTAACTCGTTTGTTTTTTTTGTCAATCAAAAAGTTTTGATTGTTTTTTTTGTTTTTTCTTTTAAAAAAAAATTATTTTTTTTGCCGGGGGGGGGGGGGGGGTATATTTGCAATTGAAATTGTCCCAAGATGTCCACATATTGTTACGGAGAAAAGTGGTTATCTTTGACAGATGGACATCTCGGAGTGGGTGGTTAGCGGGTGTTCTGGTGTGATTTGCTTTTTCTTTACCATCAAACATTTGTCTTCCTTATCTCTCCTCCTCCTTTTTTTATGTTTATTATTCTTTTGTAATACCTCTAATCTCCGGCACTTATATGACCTTATTGTATTGCAAGTGACGTAAAACTTTTACTAAAAGAAGGCAACGGTCTTGCAGAGATGTTATATCTTGTGTCGTGTTTTCTCTCTTCCGCAGAGCTTCTCGCCAAGAAGAAGAAGCAATCAGGAAGTGTGGAGGCCGAGAAAGAAATTGTAGGAAGAACGAGAGATATCTTCTCCACGGAGGCACCTGTAAGTTCACCGTGTACAACATATTGTTATGTGTTATACCTAAAGGCCAAACTCAGTGTGTGTGGGTGGTTGGCGGGTGCTCTGGTGTGGCCTGCTCCTTCTTTCTTATCAAACATCTATCGTCTTTTTCTCCCCTCCTTCTATTTTGTGTTTGTTACTCTCTTGTAACACCTCTAATCTTTTGGGGCTCATATGACCTTATGCAGTTGCAAGCGCCGTAAAACCTCTACTAAAACTAAACTAAAACTCAGCATATGCTGCAAGGCCAAATTCAGGGTGAACAGCATGTTATGTGTTGTACAGAAAGGTCAAACAGTGTGTACAACATGTCTTCTACTGAAAGGCCAAACTCGACTAAGCTCAATTGTTCACAGAGAAGGGCTGTGTCATTTTGTCTTGATCTCTTACTTTGCTAATCCTGTGATACGTCCTTAACCAGGCAATGTTACGTCATGTAATAATTACTAACAAACGTAAGAGCCCTCTACTCTGTTGTCTCTTTACCTCCATGAATTGAATTGGATGGCTCGTTAAGTTCAGGGACGTGCTTTTCCTTTTTTTCTTTTCTTTATTATGTCTGTTGTTTTCAAGTGAATACGTTTTCAAATATTCAAGAGCAGCCATTATCCTCATCCCTGTGAGATGAATAAAGATTGTCATTGTCGTTGTCATTTTCTGTTGGACCCCATATTGCTTGTGTCTATGAATTGTCCTTTAGTTTGCAAGTGCAATTTCCAAAATTTTCCGTCGTTCTCACAAAGTAAGGGCGGGAAAGATATGGCTCTCTTGAATGAGCATTCTGTCTCGTCTGTGCAAACATAGATGGGACATGTCCGCCAATGAAGGGGTTCCGGGAGTTGTCGGTGGTGCTTTTCAAAATTATACTTTAAAGTCTGCTCAGATTTAAATGAATGTTTCATTTCATTTTTCAATTTCCTCGGTAGATTCCTCAAACAGGGGAGAGAATCGACATCATCCTCCACGTGGATGACGAGAGCAACGTGAGCAAGATCCTGGCCGGTCAGGCCAACACGTGGAAGGGCCCGTCGGTCGCCACACAGGTGCGCCAGATCCTGCAAGTCCAGGCCAACGGTAAGGGCGGAAGGTTTTCTTTTCTTTTCTTTTCTTTTCTTTTTTTTTTTTTTGTTGTTGTGTGTAAGAGTTTTACGGCACTTGCAACACAATAAGGTCATATAAGTGCTGAAGATTAGAGGTGTTACAAGGGAGTAACAAACACAAAAAAGAAGGAGGGGAGATAAAGACAGTAGGTGTTTGATAGGAAACAAGGAGCAAACCACACCTGAGCACCCGCCAACCACCCACGTTTTCTGGCTTGGCCAACTCGCTACCTTAGAATTACAACTTTTTATCTGCTGTTTTTTGTTTTAGTAAGGTTTTACGGCGCTCGCAACTGCATACAGTCATATGAGCACCAAGGGGTGGATGTCAACAGAGAAGTCCGAACGCGGCATCAGGCTTATTCTGCTCACCTCTCTAGCCTCAACAGCACAAAGTCTGCTTCGACTATCAAGGCTCCGGCAAATAGCTGTTCACAAGAGAGTGGCAAACATTCTCTTTCTTCCCTCCTTCTTTTTTGTGTTTGTAACTCTCTTGTAACACTTCTAATTTCGTCACTTGTATGACCTTATTGTTTTTGCAAGTGCCGTAAAACTCTTACTAAAACTAATCTAAGAAAAGTTGGCAGCTGAGCTACAGAATCCTTACCTTGATTTGTTTCATGATGTCTGTTTTGAACACCAAGGGATCAGAAAGTGACGGATTTGTTTGATTATTCTCATTCAGAACTGGCCAGTGCGGCTCTCTCTGATGTCAGCGAAGACCTGTCGGATATCTCAGAGACCTCGGACATCGGAGACTCGCCCAGTCCTCTCAAGAGGAAGACGGCAACTTTCCGCAAGTCGTCGCTTCCAGAAGCCTACCGGCCTCGCCCGTCAGAGAGGTTAGAGGACAGCCCACACAGAAGTAGAACCTCCGTCTCAAAGTCTGTCGCCTCCACAGAAGACAGACGAAGGGACAGGTGAGGTTTTTTATTTCTTCTTCTTTTTTTTTTTCTTTCTTTTTTTAAGAAGTGTTTTATGGCGCTCGCAACTGCTTAAGGTCATATGAGTGTACGGGACTCATTAAATTTTTACAGTTGGTAGGAAATTTTGAATTTTGTGTGGGTGGCGGCCAAAGCCTACTCATCGATTTTAGACCACCAAGGGATCTTTATCGTGTGCAACTTGCACATGGGCCCTCTGAGATTTTTCGCCCTTGTCCAAGAAGGCTAGGTGCAGATCTTTCTTGCCAAAAGATGAGGGACGTGGCTGATAGACAGCAGTAAGAAGGAGCCAAGGAGTAGTAGTAGAAAGAGTCAAGAGCCCAGAGGAGGGGGTGGGGGCAGAAAGAGGAGACGAAAGCCAACGACAGAACATTGCTAGAGAGCAGGACAGGAGGTGAAAGGAGAAAATTTTAGAGATTTTCCGCCGCTACCCGAATTTGAACCCGCGACCTTTGAATGAGAGGCCAACACTTCAACCTCTAGGCCACGAGAGCCCCGCTTTTCATGTCTCTCTCTGATGTTTGTTCACATTGTTGTCAAAGGTCTTTGTGAATTTGTGTGAAGTATTGGGGATGGGGGTGAAAATGTGGGTTTAGTGTAAAGTGTATAGGTTTAACGCCTTGGGGGGGTACCCACGAACTTACCATCTGTCTCGGATCGGACCAAGCCAAATGAGTTGAGGGCCTTGAAAACTGCACAAAGTGGGTGGTTGGCGGGTGCTCTGGTGTGGTTTGCACCTACTTTCCTATCAAACATCTGTTATCCTGGTCTCCCCTCCTTTCTTGTGTCTGTTACTCTCTTGTAACACCTGTAATCTTCGGCACTTGTATTACCTTATTGTGTTGCAAGTTCCGGAAAACTAAAACTCCACAAAACGACCTTGAGTTCAAGAGTGCTCAAGTCTAGTACTTAAACCTTTTCCATCTGCACAGTAGTCCAACATGATACCAACTGAGCTACCGGAGCACACAGTGTGGGTTTTTGTGGAGAGGAATACAGTCACCACCAACCTGTGTCAGTGACCAGTGGTCATCATGGCATGGAATCTTACCCTTCTTTTAGTTGTGTGTGGACATCTTGGGGGGGGGGGGGGGGAGCCGTGGTAAATATTGCCGGTTATCGAGGACGAGGAAGAAGAAAAGAATTGCCCGTCAGATGTAATAACTGGCATAATGATCTCCATTACTGGAGCTGCTTTCCTTGTGTGGCTCTCACTGTGTTTGTGAGTTAATGCAGGCAGCTCGCTAAAAAGGCAAGGCTAATTTTGAAGTTTTTTGGGGGGGTTTTTAACACTCTGAAGTGATATGGTTCATTTGCTGTAGGAGGTTTAGGGTGGAGTGGTGTTCCTTGTTGATTTGTTGTAAGTGTTTTCGTTGAGCCATTTATTGATATACAACTTTTTTTTTGGTAATCTCTGAGTATTAATTTCTGTATTAACATGACTTTTTTTGTAATCTTTGAATAATTATTTCTATATAGACATGACTTTTTTTGTAATCTGACTTAATTTCTGTATTAACATAACATAGGTGGTTGGAGGGTGCTACTGGTAAGTCCTACTTCTTTTCTTTCCCTTTTTTTGCTTCTGTCTATCCGTCTTTCTTCTCTCCTGTACTAAAACACCGTTATTTTGTCGATGTGTTTCTCTTGGCTCAGACTCAAATGAGCATGAATTGAACCAATTCTTCACGCCGGTCAATTGATCTCTCATTTAAAGGAAATGTGTTGTTATCCCTCAGGTACTTGACTGACCAGAGAGATTCTCACTCCCAACGCTCCTCAAACTACTCGAAGCAGTTGCACAAGAAAGAGGAATCTTTCAGGGTGGAGAGGAGGTACGACGGTTACGATTGGGGCCAAAACGAGAGGAAAGGTGGCTCGCGGGATGGAAGTCAGCGCGACTTTTACGCGAGCGAAGGCAAAAGGGGCGGAGACAGCCGAGACGCTTACAGCAGGTATGACGCGACCAATGAGGAGAGAAGAACAACGCAAGCTCGAGACGAAAGAAGAGGGGATGTGGGGCCCGACAGAGACAGATACGAGATTGCGAAAGATTACGGGAGGCGGGAAAGAGAAGAGCCGAAGAGGGCGGCGGAGTCCTCGCGGGATATCCTACGAAGAGAGCGGATAGAGATTGAGCGGATGGAGAAGGAAAAGAATGCCACACGAGGGGGGCAGAAGTCTCAATCGGGCTCGGAGGATAGGTCGCAGGAGGCGAGGGAGCGGTCGAAGCAGGAGGCGAAACAGGAGGAAGAGGACAGGCTGGCCCGGGCTATCAAGGCCACGCTGGGCTACTCGGTGCAGGAGGAGAAAAAGTGGGGAGGCTCGCAGGGCGACAGGCAGAGAGAGAGGAGTCCTCTCGGGAGACGAACTGTGGCCAGGGGCCGGTGAGTGACGTGGAAGATGTTGTCGTCGGTGTTGATTGTGTAATACATTCGATAGTTGGTCCCTTTTAAGCACAAGGGGGCTATCCCGAAAAATGCCGTTTTGAGAAAATCAAAAGTCTAATTTTTGTTTTTAGGCTCAACTTCTTTTATGTCCATACAAAAACATATTCCAGTGTGAATATTACTGAAAAATGTTGATTAAAGGCACAAAATATGTCATTTTTCAGTTTTCAAGGACTCTTTAACTATTAGAGTGACAAAATTTTGGGGCCATTTTCTCGCTAATTTCACCAGTGAAATCAGATGACCTTGCCTCCTTATCCTTTAATCACAGATAACTCAACTTCTATTCTAGATAGATGGGTATTTTTTTTTTTCATTAACTGAATACGCTTTCAGATGACACCAATAACTCCACATGCCGAAAAACTGACGAGCGCCTGATTTCACCACGTCGTGACACATATTATGGTTTTTTTCTCAGCTCTACGAGTCCCTCAAGAGCCAGGAGGCCGGCGGAGAGCAGTGGGACGTCCCGCCGTCTGTCCCGATCGCCAGGCACCACCAGAGAGCAGCGGCACAGGAAGTCGCTCTCCCCGCGTCCCCGCCGGCGCTCCCAGTCGCCGTACAAGAAGGGAAGGTCGGCCCTGTCGCCCATCAGTATCGGGGACGATGATGACAACGTGGATCTGCGGAGAGGAATGTGGTTATCACAACCTCCGTCTGCGATGAGTGGCTCGTGGAAACAAGGTGAGGAGATTTCTTTTCATTTCTTTTCTTTTTTTACTTGATGCTTCTTTTTAGTTATAGTGGTAATAGCTGTCGAGAACGAGGAAGAAGAAACTGAAGAGCGCTCGGGGGAACGTGGGCATAGTCACAAACTGGAAATTGTGAGGGTGTTAATTTTGAAAGCTTGTGAACTCATGACTTCAAATTTGCTTGATTGGTGGTATATTGTTATGTTCGAATGGGAGATCTAACGAGAATAATCAACCAGCAGTTGAATAGAAATAGAGTTCTGAGTCGACATACGTTCAAAAATGATTCCCTCACGATTTTCAGTTTGTTACTTTTTCCGTTTTTGCTGTGGACTCCTCAACATTGTATTTATGGAGCAATGCCAATGAACATTTCATTTTTCCCTTTAGCCCTTTTTTATTTGGTACCTAAGAAAGAATTTTCCATTTTAAGAATTATGCTTCTTGAATTTTAAGAATCTGTTCATAAATAAAAAAAGTTATGGGGTTGTAAAGGTCGACAAAATATGGATGACCCACATGTAGGAAAATACTCCTAAAAAGTGGACCACGCAGTAGCAGATTCTGTAAGAAAATCCACGATATCTCGGTAACTAATCGGAGTGTTAGAGAGAAACTGGGCTACCCGATGTGTTTTTGGGTGTAGAAATCATTTCTGCAGTCGATTTACTACCCATTATATCGAAGGTCGTTATAGAGGTGCTGCACTTGTAGTTATAAGTGATGACCAGTATCTGTGCAGCTGTGGGATGACATATATTAAATTTTGTATTTATGTATTTCCAGCCACATCTTTTAAAAAAGTGAAGTATTCTACTTTTGTTATCATAATTTCTTTTGCAGACTCCTCAAAAGGCACCACCCATCCCAAGTCCTCACTCAAATCTAATCCCACAGAGTCTGAGAAGTAAGTTGTCATGGTTTTTTCCTGCATGATGTTATAAAAGTGTTGGTGTGGGTTTTGAAAAAAAAATACAAATTTGCCTATTAGATGATTTAAATTCCGAAATATTGACTTTTAATAATGTTCCTGATTTCACTCAAGTCCTCTGTCAGTCTGTGTGTCTGAGTGGGTGGTTGGCGGGTGCTCTGGTGTGGTTTGCTTCTTCTTTCCTATCGAACATCTATCGTCCTTATCTCTCCTTCTTTTTTGTTTGTTACTCTCTTGTAACACCTCTAATCTTCGGCACTTTTTTTACCTTATTGTGTGGCAAGTACCGTAAAACGCTTACTAAAACTAAAACTGAAATTAAAACTTTGGGGTTTTGTTTTTTTTTCTTCAGACTTCTCCAGCGACTACAGGAAAGCCGGTCGTCCAAGCATCTGCAGCCGGAAGACAAGGCGATGCTAACAGCTCTGGTGAAGCACATGGTCTCTCGGGCACAGAAACCTTCGCAGTCGTCACAGGCGGCCGGCGACAAAACTCCCACTGCTCAGTTTATCCCCGGGTTCCACGACCCGGCCCGGTTCGCCAAGAAGTTGAGGGATCAGTTGAGCTCCGGGGACACGGCGGGCGCATTGGGGAGGAGCTCGGGTAGGAAAGGAGTCACCAAAGAAGATCTGGAGCCGAAGACGACGGGTGTGGTTGGAGGTGCGGGGTCTCTGTACGGCTCTTCCTCGCTGGGTGACAGTTTCAGAAGCGGCAAGTCGATCCCGCCTCCCATCCCCCCGCCTATCGCCCCTCCTCTACTCTCCTCCTCCTCCTCCGCACAGCCTGCGGAGAAAGAGGCGGAGCGAGTCTCCTGTCTAGAGACCCTGGCCAACCAGCTAGCGGTGGAAATTCTGCAGCACATGTCGCAGCCCAGCTCCGTTGTCCCGGCAACTTCTACGGGGCCCCCGCCGATCATGGCGGGCGCCGCTGCGATGCACAGATTGGCGGCCACCGTGTCCACCGCCTCTGCCCCACCCCCCCACGCCTCCTCTGCACCCCCTCCGATGTTGACGGGCGCACCTCCTCCGTCCATGTCCGGGCCGCCCCCAACCTTGAGCGGCCCACCACCGCCCATAGCGGGCCCGCCGCCCCCCTTCGGGATGCCTCCCGCCATGGCTCCTGGCATGCACATGCACTTCATGCCCGACCCCATGATGGCTCTCCCTCCCGACCTGAGCCAGCCCCCTCCCCCCATGTGGCAGCACCCTCCCCCAGGATTTCCATTTTAATATATTTCTTTTCAAATCAAAGAACAGATCCCCCCACCCCCCCAGGATGTCCATTTTAACACTCTGTGGTCACTTGATGCAATAATGCGGTGGTGACAATCATCCATTCCGGTCACCTGGCGCATTTCTGTGCCAGCCCAGGCCCTAGAAGTTGGTTGCAGTCACTCTCCTGGCTGGGTGACCAGATATGGGATATTTTGTACTGCTGGCCGTGTGACTGGAAAATGTTGATATATTTCTTTTCAAATCACAGAGCAGATCCCCCCCTCCCCCCAACCCTCTTTCCAATTTTTTTTTTCAATTTTAATTTTTGAAAGAGGCAAAAGTGTTGAGAGAGAATTTTTATAGAAGTGGAAAGAAACCAGATGATGTCATGGTAGAAAATGCTGGCGTTGATTTGACACGGATACCTACTATTACTATTAGGAGACAAATGCTGTTTCATGGATACTTGCATAGAATGGATAAATATAGGCCAGGAGCATCTTGTATTTACTGGAAAAGTCGACAAATGAGACGGAGGCAGACTAAAAATAATTTACTAAGAGAATTTGAAAAGAAAGATGATGAGAAAAAATCAGGATAATATGATATATATATAATTCGTTGAGAACATTTGAGTTGAGAAATATTTGGTGAAGTGAGATTGTCAATGCCTGATTCTAGCACTTGGAGAAGAGGGGGTAGGATAAGATTATGGGATTCAGGAGTGCAATAATCTTCAGTAACTGTTAGGGGGTGTTGCAAGCCCCTGCTTTTGTGTTTTGTACAAATGGGATTGGGGGGTTATTTTGGAAGCAACTAATTTCTTTCCATACTGTACAATCACCCACAGCTATTGACTCTCTGATATCTGCCAAGCTTTTTTGTTTGGTTGTGTGTATTTCGAATTGGTTATTTTAAAGATTTTGTTTCTGTTTTAGTTTCCATATGTTGACTTGACTTTGCTTGTTCTCTCCTAACTCTTTTTCATCTGTTTTCTCACAAGCTTTGGAATCTTTTTAGATCAATTATGATACTTACACTGTCACAAAATTTTACTCTGCAGCCTTTGTATCGTTATAAAATGAAGGTTATTGTGCAGAACAAGGAATAATGAATGAGAGAAACGCCCCAACAGTATAATCTTCCCCCTCACTCGCCCACCGCGTACTGGATCTTTTACCCCATGCCACAACTGAGCTATTTGAAGAGGATCAGAAACAAGTGTTCTGCGATGGAAATTATTTGGTCGCTTTTCAGGACAAGCGGGCTGACACAGATTTTGGGGGGTTCCAGAAATCTTTACCTACGCCAAAAGTGGGCATTGCCCTACCTTAGGAGAAGTTTGGTTTCATTTGGGTGTATATTTGTTTGGTTATAGAGAAAACTCCTTGTTTTTTAAAGAAATTGAACAAGGGGCAAAAACGTTGCCTTCGATTTTCTCAAAACAGCATTTTTCAGGATAACCCCCTTGTGTTTTAAAGCGACCATTTGTCAATGTTATCAAGGGATTTTTAGGTTCGTCCTTACAGCGATGGATAATGGTGCAACAGTTTCCGTTTTGTTGCCATGTATGGGTGTAGTGTCCCAATCAACACTGTTGGGTGATTAAGAGGCCGGTATTTTGTTATAACTTTTTGGGGTATTTGTGGGGGTTGAAAAAGAAAGTTTGGCTTGCAGATTAGTTTGAGATTACCACCAGAGTGTTTTGTTTTTTTTCCTTTTTTATAAAATGTGTTAAATGTTATTTTGGATGGTTTGGTTTCTCTCAAAAGCTTAAAAAAAAAAAAAGATTCCACTTTGTTATGAAGCAAGTCGTCACTGCCCTTGCAAAATGGCAGAACTCAAGAGTTGTGCCAAAATGCAAATAGCCTTTTTTTTTGGTTTGGTGGAACTAATAATACTATATCGATCTTTTGGCAAAATCAAAACTAAAATAGGCTGGCAGTCACGAAAGAAACATGCATGGCAAGTTTTACCATTACTTGATGATAATCTGTAATCTTGTAAACAAGAAGTTTTTTCCACTTGTCTGAAAAGTAGCAAACATGAGATGTGTCGTGGGTGGTTGGCGGGTGCTCTGGTGTGGTTTGTTCCTTCTTTTCTATCAAACATCTATTGTCCTGATCTCTCCTCCTTTTTTGTGTTTGTTACTCTCTTGTAATTCCTCTAATCTTCAGCACTAATATGACCTTATTGTGTTGCGAGCGCCGTAAAACTGTTACTAAAACTAAAAATGAGATGTGCCATTTTGCTAGCACAGTGACGATGTGTTTCTAAATGTGTTACCTAGTTTGTTATTTTACTTTTACATCAGTTTTTTAAAGTCGTGTTACTGGCAATGATTTATGACTGGGAGCTGAATGTTCTTTTGATGTCCGGGCTCTTTGACACCTCTCTGGATACAGGATTCCGTTTTTAGAAGTTTGAGGAAAGTTCACTGTTTAAAAAAGTCTCCATTGTGCTTCATATCTGTACATCTGTCCCTTGTTACCCTCATGCCAATTCTTTGCTGACTGATGATTAATTTGTGTGTTTTCAATCTCTTTTATGTTCATGTGTTACATATTATGTGTACAGACTTAGATTTTCTTACCAGAAGTTTTGAGATATTTCTTGTCTGTAACTGAGGTGAAGTTACTCTTGCTTCGTCAAAGAAAGTACGGTACACTACAAGATGGTTCACTCTTTTAGAAAAGTATTCTTGGACAATTTAGGTGCAATTTTTGTCGACATTGGATCTAGTGCTGCTGAAAAAGTTTTCTTTTGCTTCTCAAAGAGTTATTTTAGAATAATCTGTTTTCTTACTCTTTGCTTACCAGCTATGTCACTCCGTAAAAAATAGTTTCAAACGCATGTTGATAATAGATGTGGCTACTGGCATGTTATTGTGGGCGTTTTTTTGTTTTAAATTGCATTACAAAATGAGCTGGGAACCATGTTTAAATGTACAATCTTTGCCTCTGTTTTTTGATAATGAGAAACAGTGTTTGTACCTACAACAGTGGTGCTGACTGAATGTTTTGAATACTCTATTGGAATAGGATAGGAGTATCCACGAAGTGTGCTGTGTCGCATAAGTAAGTGGAAACGAGATGGACCAAATGTTTAAATGCTCATTGATATTCTGTATTCATTTCTCCTACTACTGAATTGTAAGGTTATTGATACTTATTGCACAGGATCACACTGAATGTAAGTGGAAACAAGATTTGCCAAATGTTTGCAAATTGACACTCTGCATCATTTCTCCTTTTACTGAATTGTCAAGTTATTGTACCTGCTGTGAATGGCTCTTTTGATATTGCCCTGGTATTGCCCTAAAAAAGGTTAACTTTTGTTCACATCAGGTCTTATTATCTATGGTGTTTAAAGCCAACTTTTTCACTGACCGCCATGTCAGTATTATATTATTGTGGTCAAATTTTTAAACACAAGTGTAATTATAAACCTTTGGTACTTATGAGTCTATTAGATCTATGTCTCTTGCAATGACTTTGCTGCTTGCATGTATTTCCAGCCATTTTTGAAGGCCCCAATCTTTTATTTTATGTATATATTTATATATATGTGTGAGTCTTCGTGGTGGAATCAGGCGCTCGCCAATTTTTGGACATATATGGGGTTATTGGTATTATCCCAAAGCCTGTTCATTTGCCTTGCTTCTGGTGATAAAAATATCCATCTATGTTGAATAGTTGCCGAAACATTTCCGGTTGAGGGAGGTCAAGGTCGCCTGGTTTCAGAGGTGAAATTAACGAGAAAATGACCGCCATAGATTGGTAATTTCCAAGCTTGAGAGTCCTCGGAAAATGAAAATTGACATTTTTTTTGTGCCTTTAATCAATGCTTTTAAGTAAAATCAACACATATGTGTTTTTAAATGAATATAAAAGGTGTTGAGCCCCCCCCCCAAGAAAATTTGAAAGAAAAAAATTGCCCACCGGTCAGAAAAATGCCAATTTCTTTGATTTCATTAGATCTATTTTGACATGCGCTTGATTTCCCCACGATGCCTCACAATTGATCTGGAATAGACAAATACAGAGACTGAAATAGCGTTGTTCAAACTTAATGGCTTCTTCTATCTGTTTCTGGAGGATTTCTAGCCTTGCTGGATGGGTATGGATAGCGTCTTTGGATATATATATATAATGGCAAGTCTTTAAATTGTTGTTATTCACAAGCCCCCCCCCCCCACTCATTTTTCCACTTTCACCTGATCTAGCCTACTTGTACATTTGTCAGACAGAAATGTTATTGATGTTATTTTCAGGTACACCCATGTTTGTTGATTTAAATAAAAATGAATTCTAAACTAAAAAGAAGATTTTTTGTTGTTGTTAGATTCTTCTGTTTGATTTCATCTGAAGGGAGGGGGTGGGGGGCTGTGAGGGTGAGTGTAGGTGTTGTTGTTGTTGTTGGTTTCAGTACATTGTATTCTACTGAAAGTGTAAGGGCATGCTCTGCCTGGCGGCTCTTGTGGCCTAGGGGTTAAAGTGTTTGCCTCTCCTTTAAAGGTCCTGGGTTGGAATCTCCTCTAAAATTGTCTCCTTTCACCTTCTTTCCTTCTCTCTTGCAATGTTCTGTTGTCTGCTTTCGTCTCCTCTTTCTGCCCTCACCTCATTTGCCCTCTCCTCTGGGCCCCTGACTCTCTCTGCAGCCTTTCTTCTGCTACTCCTTGGCTCCTTCTTACTGCTGTCTTTCAGCCACACCCTTGATCTTCTGGTAAGAAAGATCTGCACCTAGCCTTCTCGGACAAGGGCGAAAAATCTCGGAGGTCCCGTGTGCAAGTGGCGCACGTTAAAGATCCCTTGGTGGTCTAAAATCAATAAGAGTAGCAAATTTCAAAATTTCCCACCAACTTAAAATATTTGGTGTGTCCTGTGCGCTCTATGACCTTATGCAGTTGCGAGCGTCCTAAAACACTCACCAAAAACATGTTCTGCCTTCCACCTCTCCTTCAATACTGCATTAAGATCTGCATCTTTTGAGACATTACACTGTTCTTTTATAATGCTCCCTTCATTACGACATAATTTGCTACAAACGTGTCCCCATCATTGCTTTTTTTTAAGGGGGGGGGGGGAGTTGTTTTTTCTTGGTTAGACTTGAAGACTCGAGCGCACGCGCTTCAACGACACACACACACACACACACACACACACACACACACACACACACATATATATATACACGCACGCACGCACACACACACACATATACACGCACACACACAGTGTAAAGAACATTGGTGTAGGAAGAACGTGGCATCATTTACAAAATGAAACATCA